CTGAACCATGCTGCTTTTTGTGGTTCTATGGAGGAAATGGACATAGGTTGCCATGTTAGAAGGGATTTCACCAAAATAAGCCTAGAGTGCCTTGCATGTGTACCAAGATTCGACCTTTACGTGTTTATTGGTCATGGGAAAGTCACATCTATAAATTAGAGAAGCAGATCTGACCTCAAGAGGTCAGATGAGTGTTTTCATGAGCCCATAAGGGACTCGACGAGTCGAGTCGGGTTGCCCCGCGATTCGCGACTTGTGATAACCCGATGTGTGCAGGGTTGACTCAGCGAGTCGAGTGTGGACCAGGGGCGAAGAGAACACGCATGTACTCGTCGAGTCACACGAGTGCACTCGACGAGTCCGGTCAATGTTGACCGTTGACTTTGTTGACTTTTAGGGTTTAGTCAGTGTTTGGACTTATGAGCCATTAGAGGGGTAGAATGGTCTTTTACCCTTCTTAGAGAACTTATAGAGAGGGGTTAGCCTAGCCTTTAGAAGTTGTATTAATTAGAGTAATTATTTATGTGATTAGGCGGAGGCTAGTGCAGTATTTCAGAGTTTGAGGTTTACCGAGTTACCCGAGGTGAGTCTTCTCACTATACTTTACCTTGAGTGGTAAGTAGAGTTATGTGACATAGTATCTTGTATGCTATGTATGTGATGTGTTGCACTGCATTATTTCTATGTGATTTATGCTGTGTGTATTCCAGAGTTTACAGAGTTAGGACCGGAAGGTCCACAGAGCTAGGACCAGAGGGTCCACAGAGTTAGGGCCAGTAGGCCCACAGAGTTATAGCCTCGAGTGGCTAATATGTGTTATATGTGGTATTTTGGGGAACTCACTAAGCATTTATGCTTACAGTGTTTTGTGTTATGTGTTTCAGGTACCAGTGAGGATCGCGGGAAGGCGCCGGCATGATCAGTACACACTATTAGAGTTTTATACATTTTGATCTTGGGATGTGTTTTTATGGATTTAAGATGTGATACATTGAGATTTTGAGAATATTTGTGAATGAAATTATATTTTTAAAAGTGAAAAATTGTTTTGAAAAATTACGGTGTTACAAGGTTTATCTTCCCATGCTCCACATCCCTATTTCTTCTTAGGCCCTGCAAATCAGAACAAATGTGAAAACCACATCCTGTATCAAGAACCCAAGAAATAGCATGCAATGAGTTATTAGATTGAATAGTATAAGTACCTGCGTAGGATGGTTTTATCTTTCCATCCTTGATGTCCTGCAGATACCTCGGGCAGCTTCGTTTCCAATTCCCCTTCTCATGGCAGTAGTAGCACTCTGCATCCTTTGGGTTGGAGGTGGGTGTAGTGGTACCAGCCTTGGTTCCACTAGAAGAGGTGCCATCATGAGACTTTCCCTTATGGTGGCTCTTGGAAGGAGCCTTCCTCTTCTTACCCTTCCCATGCCCAATAGCCAAGACGGGGGCAGCTGTAGCGGGAGTTGATGCAACAAATTTATCCTTGAGGTTGCTCTCAGCAGTCCTCAACAAGCCTTGAAGTTTGCTCAAGCTGATGTCCTCTTTGTTCATGTGGTAGGTCATGTGAAACTGGTTGAAGCAGGGTGGCATTGAGTGAAGAATAATATCAATCGCCAGCTCTTCATCTAAGTTAACATTTAACTTCAGCAGGCGGTCGACATATCTTTGTATTTTCTGCAGATGCGCAGTGACAGACTCTCCGTCTCTCATCTTGGTCGTAATCATGGAAGTGATGATCTCGTATCTTTCCTGCCTGGCACCCTGGTGGTACCTGTCCAGTAAAACCTGGTGCATCTCATAGGGATAGTAGTCCTCGTAGGACTTTTGGAGTTCTGCAGTCATTGTCGCGAGCATGATGCAATGGACTTTCGTAGCAATCTCCTCTGGAGTAGCAGTGTTGACATTCACCTCCTTCAGTTCCTTGTCGAGGACATATTCCTTGTCTTCGTAGCGGGTAACCATTCGAATGTTGCGGATCCAATCATTGAAGTTGGTCCCATCGAAAGTCACCCTCTCACACAAATTCATGAGTGAGAACGAGCCTGAAGAGGTTGAGCCTGAAGCGTTGTTGGTGTTCGAGTTAGACATCTGAAAAGAAAAGAGACAAAGTTTGATTAGATAAGAATCCCCAATTAAACACCCAAATGAGAAATTAGGGCTAGGATCCAACAAGATTATTTGCAATTTAAAAGAGGGATGCCGTAATCTAAACAACAAATAATTTGAAGGTAAGTGAATGACAATTCACTAATTTCCACCATGAAAAACGAAAAGGAATTAAGTTTTAAATGTATTGAAAACTCCTAGATCTTTTGAGATTCATTGAACTTTTCAATGGCATGTTTAAATCTCGATATGCCCTTCAAGTTTGTGACTGGGATACAGAGGATCACAAACAAGGAGTGAATAACCATGCAAATCTACTTGGTGCCCTCGATGTTACAGGCACCTAATCAATGTGATGGTTAGCCACACACACTCCATTGATCTTTGATAAACAACGAGTCACCCTTCGCCACCTTTGCTTAGAGCCAAATTAGTGTGCCGGTTAACCACACACGCTCCACTAACGTCTTAGCAAGGGTACAGAGTGTAATTCCATGGAATAGCATCAAATTCACATTTTTCCTAAAGTAACTAAGAATGGGAATTTTATAAAAAAAAAATTAGTTACTTTGTATAATCATTATACTTTTAATGAGGAATTGGTTGCCCTATCCTACCCGTTCGGTTAACGACCCTCCACTAGTCAAGGGTGCGATGGGTAAGAGTGGATACCCAATGACGGTCATTTTATAGGCCGCTTCCTTAAACACCCCTTATAGACCAGCTTTGTGAATGAGGCCTACTAACGGTAAGACTAGCATTTATCTTATACATATATAATAATTATTCTTATAATATTATAATAGTATATGGTGAATTTTAAACTTGTAAAATTCTAGGGTTTAGAATTTAAATATTTCAAAATTAAACTTTTAATCCAAATATTCAAATTCAAAACTTGAGGGCAAGTTTTGAAACATTTCAAAACTATCTAGATCAAAATTCAAATAATACAAATAAGCAATTAATTTGGTGATTATCTTATTTTGACCTAATCCTTTTGCATGCAATATAATTGATCAAATAATTCAAATAATTAAGATTTATCTTATAAGAAAATAATTATCTAATTAAATGACAAAAATCTTTTATTTTGACAAAGATAATCATATAGAATCAATAAAATTTGGATTTTATTAATTAGAAACAATTATGGTAATTATCCTAAGTCAAAATAAGCAAAAATCCCGAAAATCCGTCTGTCTAACAGCTCGACTCGCCGAGCCCTTTACTGGACTCGCCGAGTACCTCATTGGGCTCGACGAGTCTGTCAAGCAGAAAGCACAAAATTCGATTTTAAGCAATGGAAGAATATACCAAGCATCAAATACAATAGAAACCAAGCAAGGCTCTGATACCACTGATGGGTTTTGACCAAAATAACATCCTATGTGCACATGGAAAACCCTAAAGCTTTGGATCTAGGTTTCTCTATTGTACATGCAAATTTATCCAAAGCTTGCAAACCCTAATCTAGCATACTATGAAAATGAAATCTGAAATAAAACAAGTTTAGATGATACCTTTTAATAGTTGCAAGAATCTTCAATCTTCAAGAGCTTAGTATCACAAGTGTAATACCTCCAATGGCTTACAAACACCAAAGCAAGAAGATGATCTAGAAGAGAGAGAGAGAGGAGAAGGCACAATTTCGGCTATAGTAACTCTAGGGTTTCTCCAGGGCTGAAATCTGTAGTCCTAGGGGCTCCTTAAATAGCTGAGCTGCTAGGGTTTCAGTCAAAACCCTAATTGGATAACTTAGGCCCTAAGCAGCTTCAAGAATCTTATGGAATAAGGCCCCTTGGACGAAATTAGAGTGGACTTCCACTTTAGATTTCGTCCCCCCTTATATCCATAAGGATTCATGGCCCAAAACCAATTATCTTATAATTGATAGTTCCAGTCCCCCTTATTTAATTAATCTATTTTAGCCACAAAATTAATTCCTAATTAATTCTTGACCAATATTAATTAAACTATATGATTTCTCTTTTAATATATTATTCATATAATATATTAATAAACCATAATAATCTCTCTTTCTCTATAAATCATATTGTCTAGTTGCTTTGGTGAAGGCAACCCAAAAGGACCATGCATAACCGGGTCAAATACATACCAAATATAGTTACGGGCTTAGACACTAATCCAACAGTTATAAGATGCTCGAGTGTGGATAAGGGAGTAGTAGTTGGTTTGGAATCCAAGAGCCCAACACGAGTCAAAATGTCATGTGCATATTTGGCTTGAGTGAGAAAGAGCCCATCAGTGGTGTAGGTAACCTCAAGACCAAGAAAATAATTCAATAAACCTAAATCTTTGGTAGCAAACTCATTGTTGAGGCGGGTAATGAAGGAACAAATGAGTTTGGGATCATTTCTGGTGAGAATGATGTCATCTACATAAACCAGGAGATAGAGAAGGGTAACACCACGATGAAAGACAAATAAAGACGTGTCAGCGCGACTGCACATAAACCCAATGCTGATTAGAAAAGCACTTAAGCGTTGGAACCATGCTCTTGGTGCCTGTTTGAGACTGTAAAGTGCTTTCTTTAGCTTGCATACATGAAGAGGAAACTGTTCATCGATAAACCCCGAAGGTTGTTCCATGAAGACAGTATTAGAGAGCGTCCCATTAAGAAAATCATTTTTAACATCAAGTTGATGTAATGGCCATTTTTGCATCACTGCAAGAGAGAGAACAATACGAACCATCGAGGCTTTTACCACTGGACTAAAGGTGTGCGAGTAATCGAGACCAGGGACTTGAGTGAAGCCTTGTGCAACTAGGCGAGCCTTATATCGATCAATAGTGCCATCAAAATGGAACTTAGTTCGAAAAATCCATTTAGATCCCACAATATTGGCACCCGAGGGTCGGGGGACAAGTTCCTATGTGTCATTGAGTCTAAGTGCTGCCATTTTGTCTTCTATTGTCATCAGCCACTGTGGATGTTTGGCGGATGATTTGAAGCCCTTAGGAACGGTGGTAGAAAAAAGAGCTTGAATGAGTCGCGAGTCTTGAAGTGAAGCTAAATCAGCCCTATGTTTTGGTTTAACAATGCCACATTTAGACCGTGTGAGCATAGGGTGAGTTGAGAGTTGTGGCTGGGCAATGATAGGTGAAGGCGGCTGAGGTCCAACCGGTGATGGCGGGGGCTCAGGATCAGCCACTAGAGGTGGCTGTACAACCTGATCAACATCAGCTGGAACAGCACACGAGCTGTAGTGTGGCAGGACATCTGAATCCATTGGAGAGGCAGGCGGCGGTAAAGGGACAACAGTGGTGGAGACGACATCTTGCAGACTAGAAGGTGATGTCAAGTTGCTTGATGGTGATGCAGCGTGTTCATCAAATGAAGTGACAAGCAACATGGTTAAATCTGATGGTGGAGAGGGTCTAGCGAAAGGATATGTGTGTTCATCAAACTGAGCGTGCCTTGTGGTATAAACCCGATCTGTGGTGGGATCGAGACAACGATACCCTTTGTAGGAGGTGTTGTACCCAATGAAAATACATGGTGAGCTGCGAGGAGCTAGCTTATGTGGGGAATAGTCTCGCAAATAAGGAAAGACACGACATCCAAAAACCCAAAATAAATCATAATTAGGGGTAGTAGAGTAAAGCAATTCGAAGGGACTTTTGTTTGCAAGAAGTTTGGATGGTAAGCGGTTAATGATGAACACATCTGATGTAAAAACATCAACCCAATAGGAAGCCGGAACATGAGCATTAAACAACATGGCAAGACCTGTCTCGGTAATATGACGATGTTTACGTTCAGCATGCCCATTCTGTTGAGGTGAGTATGGACAAGAGATTCGATGATGAGTTCCATTTAAAGTAAAGATTTGCTTGACACGATTATTAGTAAACTCAGTGCCTCCGTCACTTTGGAATGATTTTACCTTGCAAGAAAATTGAGTTTGGACAAAAGCTAAGAAGTTGGCGAGGATAATGGGGAAGTCCGATTTGAGCTTGATCGGATAGAACCACGTAAACCTCGAAAAATCGTCCACAAGCACAACATAGTATAAGTAGCCATCATTGGAGGTACTAGGTGACGGACCCCATAAATCACAGTGGACGAGATCTAAGACATGTAATGAGCGTTTTGTATTGTTATCAAAAGGTAATCGTTTGCTTTTTGAGAGTTGGCCAGATGCACACAAGCTTGGTTTAGGTAATAAAGATGTAATTGATAAAGAACCTAAGTTTTGTAATAAAGAAACAATATCAAACGCTACATGGCCTAATCTATTATGCCAAATTTCAAAGGAAGCACTAGTCCTTTGTTTTCTTAAAGCTGCCAAAAATGCATTGTTGCTTTGTTCAAGAATGTAGAGCCCCTCCTCACATTTGCCTTTTGCCATAATTTCCTTGGTGTTGTGGTTCTGAATAGCAAAAAAGGTATTAGATAGAATAACATCCACCGGTGAGTCATGAGTCAATTTACTGATTGATAGCAGATTTTTAGTGATGTGAGGAACCAATAAAACATCTAATAAAGTGAGTTTCTTAGTGACATGCGAATTAACAACAACTAAGATGTTTAAAAGATTACCGTTTCCCACAACAAATTGATCTTTGCCTTTATATGAGTTTGAGTGATCGAGATTTACGGGAGAGTTGATAATGTGTGCCGATACTCCGGAATCAACATGCCAATCGGAGCTTGAGGTGTTGCATTTGGTTTGGAAAGCATGAACCAAATTGGCATCGACGGTAGCACTTTGCTGAAAAGTGGCTAAATCTGGACAAGAAGAAACGAAATGACCATTTTTGCGACATAGTTGGCAGTGAGGAGGACGTCTACCGCGGCCTCTACCACCGGCTGAACCACCACGTGATTGAGAACCACGACCCTGAGTATTGTAAGAGTTTCTTGGTGTGGATTTTGTGTTGGCTGTAAAGGCTGCTGGGGTAGTGGAGACATGGTTGTGCATTGAACTCATAATGAGTTCGTGACTTTCTGCTTTGGACAGAAGTGTGCGAAAGGGTGGACATGGCTGAATAGCCCGATGAGCTGTGGCAAAGGTCTCAAAGGTGGAGCCCAGTCCACATAAGAACCAATGGGCTTTATCAGTTTCTTCAACTGGATGTCCGATTGCAGCTAACTGGTCACACAAAGACTTAAATTTCTTGCCAAAATCTGAAACAGAAGCGGTACCTTTATTCAGTTGTCGAAGACTGTCTCGGAGAGCTTGAACACGTTCGGTGGAATCATAACTGTAAGCCTGTTCCAGCGAAGTCCAAATGGCATGGGCAGAATTGAGATTGAGAGTTTCAGCCATTGCTTCCTCTGATAACGAGGATTGGATGATTAACACGGCTCTTTGATCAGCATCAATCCATTTTTGATAGGCTGGATTAGGGTTTGAAGCTCCTTCTACTTGAACCGTGGCAGCAGGCTTGGGAACGAATCCGTCAACGTGGCCTAACAGGTTATGATAAGACAGTAGAGGGCAAATTTGATTATTCCATAATAGATAATTGGAAGATGTTAACTTGATGGTTAACAGATGAAGAATCGTTGCCAAAGGAAGATTAGATTCAACAGAAGTCATGATGGTTTGAGAGAAGTAAGGATCGAGAATTGAAGAGAAGAGGGGGTGTGGCTAGGTTAAGCGATCTGCCGCTCTGATACCATGAAATGATTATTTTCCCTTAAAGATTTTGTATTTCATTAACGTATTTATATAATACATATTACAACAACATAACCAAAGATAAAAGAGAATTTAAATTCTATACAAATAATCTAATATTTGTTATTATCTGTAATGCTATCGCTAATAAGGAGTCATAAATAACAACCTCAACAATGATGACTAACTATGTTGTGGGCTATAATGCAACGCATCATGAAATGATGTTGATGAATATCATTATGGGACTGATAATAATTAACTCCATTTCAAGACCGCTGAAAATCTATTATGACAATTTTGTCGCAGTAAGCTTTTCGAATAGTAAAAGTTCGAATGAGGCAAAATTACATCTCGGTATAAAGTAATTTTTTTTTCAAGAATATGTAGAGGAGCACAATCTTTGTATCAGAGTATATTAGCACTCATGACATGTTAGTGGATCTGATGATGAAAAATGTTTTATCCAAAATATTCGAAGATCATGTCATCAAGATGGGTTTACGTAAGGATTTTAAATTATTTTCTACCATGGTGCCTTATTATATCGAATATTATAAACGAAGTACTTGATTATGATTTCCTCATAAGCTTTAAGTTTGTATATAATTATGATTTGCGCGCACTTATGATTAATTCTGTAGACAAACATAAATTATTTACCACATCGAATAAGGATATTTGGCTTGTCATAATGTTAGCCCTTTATATAAATGTCTTGGTATAATTGATGGGGGTCTCGTGTTGTTGACAACGAGTATGACTGTAACTTTTTACTACGGTGTGTGTACAAAGTGTTATAAGTTCATACTTGGCCAAACTTATGAGAAACGGTCTCTAGGCGAAATGAGAGAATGTTAGAAAATATCTATATAATATGGCCTAAGGACCATTTCTGTAATATATTTTATATTTATGGTATATTTACATTTTGTACTCTCATGTTTTATAAGGTGTTACTTGATGGAAGTAACAAATATAAATATCTTAATATGGTTCATTTTCCTTAGGTGCTATGTAACGCACACAAGAGCGATCAGGGAGGTCACTTTTTTTTTTCTCTCCCAATCACATCATTAACGGTGTAATCTCTCCATCAAGGTATAGTAACATAACGGGAATAAATTTTTTTCAAGGAATTGTCAAAAATGACATCATCTTCATGAACAAATCTCACTCCGATCAAAATTGGATTTCCACGTAAGTTCTTTCTTTTTCATGAAATTGATGTTGTTGTGATTGAAAAAAAATCAAATTGACATAATATAATCAACAAATGTTACTACTTGCAAGATCTACTAATATTAATTTTTTTTATTAAAAAGAATACTGAATTATGGACACAATCGAGTGGTTTGCAAATAGTAAATTAGTCTAATGCAATTTATTTTGGGAAATATAGATTTGTACAGTATGTTTAATGTTATCCTTAATGAAATATAAATTTTTTAAAATAAAAAAATAAAGATTTTACAGAAGTTATGAATTTGGACAATTATTTATTACAATTAAAAGTTTATATTTCGAATCCTATTTGAAATATGAATTCTCTAAAGTAAAAGATTAAGAAAAAATATTTTAAACCCACTATAAAGTGAATATCCATGTTTTGGTAATTAAATTAAAAACTACAAGAGGTTAGTAAATAACTTTTCAAAATACATTGTCAACATAAGAACTCCAAATTTGATGTCGTCATGATTCACATTTGTCATACTGAACCAACTGTACAAAACATATAGCATCATGTAAATTGTATACCTACTATACGCATTATTAATTTTTGTATACACATATTAGTGTCTTGATTAAAGGTAGATAAAAAAGAGGAATTCAATCAAAAATTACAAAGGAAACGCCAATTACCCATTAAATAGTTTTAAAAAGTGGACACGATTTAAAAGAATGTGATGATAACAAGTGTTACTCAACCGGGACTTACAAAAATAACTCTTGGGGTAAATCGAAGCCACCATTTTCAATGTGAGTCTACATAACAATATCTAGGTCTGGATATTCCTCAAACTCTTAAAGTTTCACCCATCCATCCACCTTTTGTATTGATGTTGATCAGAGCAGACCCCACAAACAAGTCTGAATCTCATACTTCTTTTTGACAAACCCATGATGAATTATTCTTCCATACTTGAGATCACGCAATCCATAATACGCCTTTAAAGCAATTGATATGATACTTCAATGGCTGAAGCAAACATAACAAGATTCTAACTGATTCTAACATGTTGATACTTAGCGCATATAATTATCAAGATAAGGTAAGTACAAAAGTAAATCATATATAAATTCTAGGCATGGGAAGACGAATCTTTTTTAGAAGTTCCCTATACGCTAAATTTCACTCTATCACCCAACTCACAAAACTGGAAACCTTATTATTCTTCAAAGTCATCCCAAACATATGAATCCAAGCTCAAGGCCGGCTCAAAACACATTTTGCACCGAGCAAAAAAAAATAAAAAATAAAAAAAATAATAATATGTACCTCTAAAATTATCAAAGTTCATTTTATGTTGGGATTATAGTTAGACGAAATTAACCCAAAGCCCTAGCATTATAATGTAATTCAAATTTATTAAAATCAACAGGGGTGATTTTATAATACCATCACTTTAATTTAAAGAATTTTTTTCTTGGTAGGACTAATAGCTAAGTTAAAGATATTAGTCATTTATGTTGAGACAAATTGTGCTGTAGATAAGCAATAC